GCGGCGGCGGCGGCGGCGGCGGCGGCAGGGTCCTTGGCGCGGAGGCTGTGCACGTCGATGACGGTGGAGTAGAGGTCCCGCAGGTTGATGACTTTGGTCTTCCTGTCGCGGTTCTCGTGCAGCACGGCGTTGGCGCAGATGAAGAGGAAAATGCCGATGCCCATGATGAGGGGCCCGAAGACCTTGAGCTTGTCCGAGTGCAGGTAGCCAGAGAAGACGCGGAAGAAGAAGCCCACGGGCGCGGGCGCTGGGGGTCCGGGCGCACGAGTGCTTTGGAGCGCGCCCTCGGGGCTGGCGGGGGCTCCCCCTGGGGGGCGCCTGGGCGGGGCCCGGTCGCTGCCGTTGCCCGGGGGCGCCTGCCTGCCCCCCTCCCTGGCCGCCCCGCCGGCTTTGGGCCAGTAGCCCACCACGGCCAGGGCGATGCCCACCAACAGCACCAGGATCCCGCAAAGGGCGATGAGCCCCGAGACGGAGCACAGCTTCAGCTTGCCTTTCACCACCACCACGTCGTTCTTGCGCCTCTTCTTGGCCTTCCGCTTGCGCTTGGGGACCTGGCCCGGGGGGCGCAGGGGATCCTGCTTGCGGGCTGAAATCCTCAGCAGGCCGCCGGTGGCGATCATGGCGAAGCCGCGGACGCTCGCGCAGGGGGGCAGCCAGCTGCCCACTAGCTGCTCCGCCACCTCCTCCTGCTGCGGAGCAGAGGAAGACAGTCAGAGAGTGGATGGAGGAGGCTTGGCTGCAGCGACATGCCGCGCCCGCAGTGACCTGGCTTGGGGTCCCACCCGGGGCCTTCCCCACTGACCAGGTGCCCAGTGTGGGGACCAGGCGCTGTTTGTTGCAGTTACCTAGATAAGTGGTGATGAAACAGTCTGAGGGACGCTTCTGTCTACCCCCTCCTCACCCCTACCCACATCCCCTAGGTAACCCCAACCCTTCAGGCTGCCGGCCAGAGGAGCTCCCACCACCAGCCCGACGTCAGTGCAGGGGTGGAGGGCTTTCCTGGCATCTCTGTCTGCCAGAATGGAAGGCCGTCCCAGGCAGGGGCTGCAGGGCTGTCAAGTCGCTAACTCAGCCCAGGACTCTGAGGGGTGCGGGCCACAGGCCACAGAAGTAGTCACAAAAGTTATTTTGTACAAAGGCAAAAAGCATTCACCTCAGTGGGTGAAAGGAAAGGCCATCCACGCGGGGAGGCAGCTTAGTTACTCCGGATACTTTAACAGAGTTCATGGCTGAGAAGAAACCCAAAACGTTTGGATGCTCGGATAATAAATCCTGGTACCAAGTCGCCTGTCTCCTATTTTGGTTCCTCCAGCTAAAGGCAAGCAGATCCCTCTCGCTGCCTCATCTCCACTCTGCCACATCTGGACAGCTTCTTGGAGTGGAATATTTAGTTTTAGGTAACGGTTATGTAACCGAGCTGGTCCTTCTGGTCTCCCCCACCCCCGGAGGAATTCCCTTAAAGCTATCGCATGCTACATTTCAGCAGGGAGTTTGAGATCCCTTGGAAGCTCTAAGAGAAAGCTCTATCTCTGGGAGAATGACAATGTGACACAGCAACAGCAATAACAAGGAGCCCCTCCCCCAGCGATGTGCCCGCAGCACTGCACAGACACCCGGGATCCTACGAGTAGACAGTAAGCTCTCCGGCCCAGCGATGATCCCTAGGACAGCATCCCCTGGGGACAGTTGCTGGCCCCAGCCTTTTCACGAGGTCATTTTTGAGAAAGGAGGGTGGCCCCAATCCATGGGCTGCCTTTAAGGAAGTTTGTCTAGTGCCTTGTCACAGAGCCTGCATAGGTTAGATTCACAGGTGCCAATGTGTGGTTATCAGTTAGTCTCTTAAAATTCCAGCCTCAGAGTTAGACCCGGTTCCATTAGTCTAGTTACCTCCTGTACCAGAGATGCTAATATGAAGGGTGTTGTGTGGATTTCAAAGATGCAGTTGTCCCTCACAGGCCTTTTCGTATTTTTGTCCTTTCTAAAATAATCTACGCTTTGCCCTTTGAAAATGTGGGATTATTTGCTTTTAATTGCTGCTGGGTTGAAAAGCATTGGTCCCGGGTCTCCTCATTGCATCGGTACAGACAGAATCTTTCTCCATGTAGTAAAGCAAATGGTAATCAACTCTTCCTGATGTCTGCAGATCAATATCTCTTTGGAACTTAGTTGAATTGCAGGAAACCGAAACACTAGGTAGGCTAGGGAGGGGTCTGCAGAGAGAATCCAATTATACTCCTTTTACATTTTGTTTTTTAAGAGCTGTAAGTGCAACTCTCACCTCCCCAAATAATCGCATTTATCATGTAGTTGCAACATAGAGGCTGCTGTGTCAAACGCTAGGCTCCGGCCTCTAATACAGTCTGGAGGTCTGTGGTTATCTGTGGAAGGCTTCAAGGACTAGGCACGTTAGAAGCGAAGTCAGACTCGTCTGCCGGCTACCTCTCCCGGGGAGCAGGACTGCCTCCGTGGCAGGTACCGCGAGGCGCCCCAGAACGCTGGGTATCCTGGGGAGAGAGGTTGCCACTATAGCTCCCTTCCGCTAGGGCTCGGGAGCTCGGAATGGATTTCAGCAATGTTTACCAGAGATCTTTAAAACGAGTTTTAATAGCTAGTAATTAGCTCCCTGCTTTATTATTCCTTCAGCTCTGCGGAAGGCTCAACTCCTTAGCAGCGCACGGCCGCCCCACATAAAGGCCGCCCCGGGGCCAGCGCCCTGGGAGACCCCCGGGGGCTTTCCTTTCACCTCACCCAGGAAACTTGGCTTAGAGCCGGCCGGCTGCCTGGAGATCCGCCGCCTGCGCTGGGCTTCCCGGGGCGAAGGCGTGGAGGATGGGAGGCTGAGGAGGGAGGTCTAAAAATACAACCGCTTCCAAGAGAGACATTCAAGTTCTCCGCGCTCCCAGTGGATGGAGCCCC